GGTTGCGATCCCGTTACCGGTCAGTAAAAAAGACAAAAAAAGGAAAAAAAAAAAAAATAGGCTTCCACTTCTTTTTCTTATCTAGATCAGTGTCTTCTTTTTTATTTTTTTCCTTTTTGTCTTTTTTTACTGACCGGTAATGGGATCGCAACCCTCGGTGTTGCGCCCGCACCGCGCTCAGCCAGTGAGCGGGAACCGGTCTCCACATGGGATCCGAACCCTCGGCGGGAGTGCTGCCACGCTCCCAAGCGGCGCACTCTCCAGTGCGCCACCGGGCCAGCCCTAGTGTCTTTTTTTTAAACATCAATTTAAGTTAAACTATTTTTTAATCTCTCCAATTTTATTTTTCATATACACATTTGTGTGTATATATACTGCTATTTTCCAATGCAAATGTGTTTCATATGTGAGCTTGCCTAGGACATTAACTTCTACTAAATAACACCATTTTTTTCTATGGGTAAATGAAGAAATTATAAATTTTAAACAATTTACAATCCATTTTTATAACATGACACTTCTGTAAACTAGGTTTCTCCTATACTTTACTCAATTTGTGAAACTTTCATCTCTGCTCCAACTACAAAAATTGCTTTTCTCACAAAAATCACATCTTCCTACTTTCATCCCTCTTTTACCTCACCTCAGCCTTCTAGCCTTCTGATCTCCCCTTCCTTCCTGTTTTCTTAGTCTGTATGGCCTCTCCAACCTAACTTCTTTTCCAACCTAGCCTGGCGGCAGTGCTTATTTCCCTAAATCCACACTATTCCCTTCAATTATTTTACCCTGTTGTAGACCAGTTCATCCTGTTTTATCAATCCCCATTAACTGTATTTTTTCCCCACTTTCTCTTGGGCTACCAGATACCACACATCCACTCTCCTTGCATGCATAACAAATACCTAAATCCAGCCAAAATTGGACTTTCAATGTTGTTCAACAATTCTTTAATACTCCTTTAATGATTACTTTTCCCATTTCCCACTACTATTGTTGCAAATCCTTACTACCCTCCTTCAGCCCCCAACTCTAGTGTCAGCCTCCTCTCTTTCTGCGAATGACTTCACCACCTGCTCTACAGAGAATATAGAAGTCATAAAGCACAATTATCCTCAATTGCTTTCTTCTCCCTCTCTCTACACCTTCACCCATCCTAACCTCCATTTCGCTTATTACAAAGTGTCTGTGTTGCTAATCCCTTATTATGTTCCAGTGCCTAGACACTATGCTAAAGGCTCTATTCCATGCTAGGCCCAAGCCACACGGGACACTGGCCAATTTACATTTCTATCTCTGGGCTTTTGTTCATGCAATTTCCTTTTCCTGGAATTCTTTTCTCCCTGGGAAATTCCAACTCATCCCTCAAGATTCTGCTAAAATGTCACCTCTTCTGTGAAGTAGTCCCCCACCACACACACAAAGAGTAATTCCTTTTCTACTTCTCCTCCTTCCCCTCCATGCTGATAATATTTTTCTAGCTCATGGTATTCTCTCACCCATTAAAAGCAGTTCTTTGTAGGTAAGGACCATGTCTTATTTATCTTTGTTTTCCTAGAACTTGGCAAAGGGCACCTAGTAGGCCCTTTCAATAAATGTTTTAATTTAATAATTTACTAAATGTTTAAATTAACTAATATGATAGCAACAAATAATGTAACAGCTCTAGCTCCCTCAAGATTCTCCCTTTCCAACTTTCACATCTGTAAGCAAATATACAGGTTCAAAATCTGTCATATTTGATTCCCTCCTTCATTGCTATCGCAATCTGTGATTTCCCCCCATCTACACATAATTCATTCATTCCTTCCTTTCTGTTCCTAGTGCCAACACTCTAACGTACGTTCATGTCAATTTTAACACTACAGCATATGGTTATCTCCTTGCAAGCTTCCACATGCCTGAACAACCACCAAGTAATCTTAAAACAGTTTTCATCACACCATGTCCTTGCTCAACATTTCCCTAATTTTCTCAAATAAATATCTTCCACTCCAAGTACTCTTTTCATTTTGAGCTATAAATCTTTGCTTAGGTACTTTTCCATGCAGAGAATATTATCTCTTCCTTATTCAAACTCTAATTACACTTCATGGTTTATATGAAGTTGATTTAATAAAGATCTTAGTACAAATTGATCTCTCCTCTAAATTTCTTTTTTTAAAATTTCTTTTAATTTTTTTTATAAAGATGACTGGAAAGGGGATCTTAACCCTTGACTTGGTGTTGTCAGCACCACACTCTCCCAAGTGAGCTAACTGGCCATTGCTATAGAGGATCCGAACCCATGGCCTTGGTATTATCAGCACCACACTCTCCCAAGTGAGCTAACTGGCCATTGCTATAGAGGATCCGAACCCATGGCCTTGGTATTATCAGCACCACACTCTCCCAAGTGAGCTAACTGGCCATTCCTATATAGGATCCGAACCCATGGCCTTGGTATTATCAGCACCACACTCTCCCAAGTGAGCCACGGGCCGGCCCTTCTCCTCTAAATTTCTATAGCACTTACTGCATTTACCAAACAAACACTTGCTGTCTAAATGGCTCATGAGATCATAAGCTCTTGGATCTCAAGAGAGAGAGAAGGGAGAGAGATGCTCTAATAGTTTTGTGTTCTTGGTAGTTACTTAACAAATACCTCTTGAAGTAACCTGAACTGAACAGTAAAAACTGGTCAAATGAATGACTAGTAATAGTATCCAAAGTTTACCACACAGTCCCTCTGTGGTCAAATGCAATGACCAAGTGTATAAGTGGTAAAACAAGAGGACTGAGCATACCTCATAAAGGAGTTAGACATAATGAAAAGCGGTATGTGACCCTTCATTCATCCAGCAAATACTGACGTCTACTAAGTGCCAGGCACTGTTCTAGATTACAGTGGTGAAAATGAGACATATTCACGAAGACATGAAGACCCGTGCTTCCATGGCATTTACGTTCTACGGGTCGAGTGATGAACTCTCTAATCTTTACAATACTTTTCTGTAAGAGAGTAAATAAATCACTAGAGGTCCTCTAAAATTATTTTCCAGGTCTAACCCATATCTGACCACGACTCTGAGGCAGCCAGCCTCTGCTTACTCTGTTGGTTCCTAAACTCAGTTGGTTTCCTTAAACTCGGTTGGGCTATTACACCGCGTGACAAGTAGCTGGTCAGTGTGAGTGCCCGTGTGGGTTAGACCTCGCATGCTCTTTAGAGATCTTAGCACATGGAGGGGGCATTGTCATCCAGAAGAGAAAAACAGTACACGGAGACAGGGAAATGCACTTAAGAGATTTAAAAGAAAATGTGGATTTGGACAAAGGGGAAGGCACTGTCACGCCCTCCTCTTCTTGTCCACGCCGAAGAGCATATAAGCAGGGCCATTTTGCACAAATGAAATCTGGTTCCAATGGGCGGGACCACAGAGGGACGTGTGAGGATTGCCCTCTCAGCTCCGCATTCTCTCAGACCCCAGGACAGCAAGCGGGTGGAAGATGCTCCGACCGGGCTTTGCGCCTTACCCAGACAGGCGGAGAATGGAAGGGGACCAGATGACGGAGGGAGCGGTGCCCGAGCCCGGGCGCGGAGCCAGCGGCGGGACTGAGAGGCCGCCTCAGACCCTGGCGCCCGCTTGTCCACTCGTCTGTTCGCCGTCACCAGGACCAGTGGGTAGCCGAGGCCGACGGCTTACCGCAAGGCCGGACCGAGCCCGGCCGTGCCGAGGCGGGTCCTCCAACACCGAGACAGGATAACACCTGGCTGCCGCCGCCACTAGGACGCGCCCCTCAGTTAATTGGTGAACCGGAAGCGGCCGTTCCTTTACCACTTCCCATATCCGGGTATGTGACGAACTCCGCGCCGGAAGTTGAGAGGAGGAGGAAGAGGAAGCGGGAAAAAGGGAACGGCCAATAGACGCGAAAGGGGCGGGGCGCCACCCAATGGGCGTGGCGAGGCGCCCCAAGGCCTCGCTGGAGGGGCGTGTCAAGGAAGGGTAGGGGCGGGGCCACTATCGCACGGAGGCTGACTTGGGACTTGGGTATTTGCTGCTGCGTGGTATTTACTTTCTGTAGAAGAAATGTTTTTTCAGATATTTGCAACAGTTCATTTAATGAGATCCGATTAATTATTTTTTTGTCCTCTGTGAAGCTCTATTAACTCTAGATTCTTACTTCTTAAATCTTGGATAGCATAAATAAATTAAATCAGAATCTCTGGAGGTGGGACCCAGACTTCAGTACTTTTAATATCTTCCCCTATGATTCTAATATGCAGCTAAGGTTGAGAACCATTGCCCTCATGACCTTGATACTCAAAGTGTGGTCCACGTACCAATTCTTTGGGGATTATCTGGGGCTTTTTAGGAAATGTAGCTTCTCTGGCTCATTTCAGATCTACTGAATCAGAATCTGCACCTTAACAAGATAATGCTTATGCACATTTAAGTTTGAGAGAAATAAATGATGTCAATGTTGCTGAATGCAAGGTAGGTAATTCGTTTATTCCATGTTCCTGACACCTGTTGCAGGCACTGATTCCAGGTAGGGATGTAATTCAGGCATGAATCCTACCGTGAAGGAGTTCACAGTGTAGTAAGACTAGACAAAATGTAGATAGAAATATGTATAAAATAGAACTCAAAATAAATAACTGAAGGGAGAGGTACAGGTCAGATAAGTGTGCTGGAAATTCAAAGGAGCGATTTCTTTGCTCCTGCTCAATACAGTCCCTTGCAAGGGACTGCAAGGATACATTCATGCATGCATTCACTTATCTGACAAGCAACCAGAGCCACCTCTATGCCAGACATTGTGTTAGGTGTGGAGATACAAAGACAGGATCCCACTCAGAGGCATGCTCTCATTGGGGAGACAGAGTTAGATGGGTAAATTATGGTTTAGTGAAGTAAACTCAAGAAAGGTAGAAAAAAGAGACTAAGTACTGTGGGAATGCAAAGAGGGAGTAATTTACTCCTGCCAGGGATGGATTCACTGAGAAAGTAACAAATGATCTGTGCAAAGTATCTTTCAGTGTTTATCCGAAGATATAATTTGGCAAAAAAATTAGCAGAAATAGCAGAGAACTGTTTGTCACTGAGATTAATATGCTTTAGTCAACACTACTTGGAATGCTTTTCACTTTCATTGAATAACTTCCCTTTTAAGAGCAGGATCTAATCCTATATTTACAAAGACCCCCTAGGTCCTTCCTGCTTCCTGTAGGTCCAGGACACTTACTGTGGGCAGTCTTTATATGACAATGACATGCGCTTTTTTGTCCTGTTATCTATCTTTTATTTACCTGTACGTTTACAGCCCTTCTCAAAGTTAGGAAATGAATTGCATTTCAGAAGCCTGGACTTCTTCCCTGAACTCCAGATTGTTGGATCCACGCCCCCCGCCCCGACATTTCCGCTTGGATATCTCGCAGGTATCTCAAATTTATGTGTTCAAAAACTAAATTCTCCTCTCTTCCCTCCCCTCCTGGATTCTCCATAAAGCAAGGTATATGCGCAATAGTTTATTTGGTGATTTGACCCCAGGGAGCAAAAGAGAAAGAGAAGAGGAAGAGGAAGTGAAACAAGGAAGAGAGAGATACAGTCTAAGTATGTGTTGTTGAATTGGTCATCACCATGTTTGAATGTTTTCTTAATCTCGCAGGACCTTCTAAGAAGTTTTAAGAAATGAGTCTCAAAATTGAGGGCAAGAATGGAGGAACACTTATATGTTGGTCCCTGTTCCTCTTTGATTGAAGGTTAATGCTCCTGGGCATTCACTACTTCACACTTCCAAATTGCCCAATTGTGAATGCCAAGCTGATTCCCACATCAGAGATTAGCTGGGGCAGGAAGTGAGAGGAGAGGTGCTGTCCCGTTGCCCTTGCCCAAAGCTCATCAAACCCTGCTCAGAACAGGTTGCTCCAGCCGTGGTTAGAATAGAAGCTGAAAGGATTTGAAGTGGTGACACAAGGTGTCCATTTCAGCTCACTCCTTGCATCACTGTGATCTGCGTGTGCCCTCTGTTAAGTCCAGTCCTTCACAGAGGTCCCTTCAAGGTAATGGCCAGCCACAATCTTGGCAAGGACTTGATATAAAAGAGTTAAGGAATAAGCTTCAGTTCTCGCTGCTGCACTGATGTTGAGACCATACTTGTATTCATTAACTCTCTCTTCCCCTACCCATTCTAACTATCACTCACCCTGGACCAGCACATCAGCTAATGTAGATTGTTTCTTTGATGAGGTAACCTTGCCTTGAGCCTTTATTTTCCTTAACTCTGGTTGAGCCATGATTGCTGTAATTGCTTTTTAAATTTGTACCTGGATACAGAAACACCAGGAAAAGCCCCAGTGAATTCTTTGGATTCTAGATATATTTCTCCCTACTGCTATTGTGTAGCAACAACCCCAGATCCTTTTGCTAATCACAATTGATTACTCCCACCAGTTTAGTAACTCCTTTCTTTTCCGGCTGGTTCATTGCCACGAGAAGCCCCAAGTGACCAAGTGATAGAGTTTCAAGTTCAGTGGATTCCATACTGTGTATCCTGGTGGAAGTATTCCCCACCCACCCCTCCCCCCCAGCTGCTGGGGAATCAATTATTGCAATATAGAAAAGCCTAAGTTTGAGAGGTAGGAAACACACATTCTGCAAGTGGGTCATTGGGAGTGATAATAAGATGAACCAATCCTGCTCCTATCCCTGGGTTTCTAGAGCCATGCCTTCAGTGCTGGGGACACTCTTTATTAGTTAGTTCAGTGCATTTATCACATCCTGTAGAACAACACGCCAATCCCAAGAAGGCACATTAGCTGAGCCATCATTTTATAAGGCTAGCTGCATCTGAATGATGAGGGATAAGGCAATATCACTGAATATCAGCAGATTATATGGTCATGTGTATATTGTCATTTTTTTTTGGCTGTAAAATGGATTCCTTGGTTGAGGTAATGTTGGTCAAGAATGCAATAGTTCTGGTTTTTGTGGTTCTTGGCAGAGGCACTGTAGGCAAGAAAGGCAAATCTAGGAATCTGTAAATACTTTTACTTCAGACCACATCTCCCTCTACATAAAAGTAAACAGTAAAGCATGCTGCTCCAAGTCTGCCAGCTGGAAAGATTCCCCTTCAGGCTATTGTGCTTTAGAGCTGTCCCTGGGTGGGGCTAAAGTACAGTAGCAGTCCAGTTTTACCTACCCACCAACATAATGTGCCAGCTCATCTGTGAAGCAGGCTCAGATGTTTTATTCTGTGTTAGGTGGTCATAAAGAACTCCCAAGAGGCCATAGGAGTGAGTTGAGGAAGAGACATTAATGCTATAAAATTAAGTGTCATGGGAGTCTGAGTCGCCACTCATGTAATCTACTTGTGTGTTCTGGACCTGCCCAGGCTCGATCCTATACCATTCCCATACTTCAATAAATTGCTTCTGCACCTATGCACTTATGATTTGGTGGGACCGATAATAACCAGCTCATGTGAGATAGTTCTAGTTTTCCCAGTGGAGAATAGTTCTCTGCCTTAGAAGTCATGCCCTTACACAACACTAGGGAACAGTGCTGCAGCTCTCTTACTGGAGTTTTCTAGAGATTTCATGCAGTGCTCTTATCCATCACAAAGCCTTCTAGCACCATAAGATCTGCTGGAACAAGTGACCTGAACATTAGGACAAGCACAACACTAGGGAACAGTGCTGCAGCTCTCTTACTGGAGTTTTCTAGAGATTTCATGCAGTGCTCTTATCATCACAAAGCCTTCTAGCACCATAAGATCTGCTGGAACAAGTGACCTGAACATTAGGACAACCTGTAGCCCAGCCCTTCTGGGCAACATATCCAAGTAGTGGGTACATTAGATTCACCGTAAGTTCATTCCAACATCCTTACTTCTAGGAAACATAGTCTAGTGGTTGTTCTTCACTCTCACATAATAAATTCATTCTAATATTCCTGCTTCCCTGAGCCTTCCGATTCCTTTCTCAATACTCATTCAAGATTATTTTAGCATCTCAATGTCATTTAGCACAGACCATGATCATGTTCAGTCTTTAAGGAGACACTGAGGTTGTGTATTAGGACTCATTCCAGATGTCCTTGCCAAAACATTAAATTCAGAATCACAGGTAAATGGCCCCATGTCATAAATTTTCCCCTATCTGGCCCTATAATCTGATTTCTCTGGTCTGACACTCTAAATATTCATTCTCACAAATATTCCTCTTGTTCCTATTGGTACATGTTAGCCTGTTTTGCAGTTCCTTTTGAGTGAATCTAGTTCAGTGATTCCCAACTGGCGATGATTTTTTATGCCCGGGGGACATTTGGCAATGTCGACAGATATTTTTGTTTGTCATTACTGGGAGGGTTTTACTAGTATCTGCTGGGTAGTTGCCAGAGATGCTGCTAAACAGTCTACAATACACAGGACAGCTCTCCACAACAAAGAATTTTCCAGCCCCAAATGTCACTAGTGTCTAAGCTGAGAAACCCTAGTCTAGGTCTTGAGCAGGGATTGCGATTCCCCACATAGATTGTGCTGAGATTTGACCCTGGTTATGGGCTCAAGGAAGTGTGGGGTGGTGATAATGGGGGTGGATATTGAGGAAAATAAGGTCATATATAAGGCATTTGCCTTAGGTATATTCTTTGCAGCATTCCCAGACAAGGGGAGGCTATTTTCCCTTTATCAAGTAGAAGGAAACTGTTGGTGCACAGAATGAAAAACAAAAACAAAAACAAAAAACCAAAGGAAAAAAACCCCCAAAACCTGGACATTTAAGATCTGGAGATTTATAATGCCCACACAAATGTCACCATTCTAAATTTC